ATATATGAATGTGTGTATATATGTATGTATGTGCTGTATTAATATGCACAAATACCTAAATTTGCATATTAATCTACCAGTTTACAACAGTACATTATTAATATGCTGTATTAATATGCACAAATACCTAAATTTGCATATTAATCTACCAGTTTACAACAGTACATACATATGCAAACACGCGATTGTATAATTATGTACATCCACCAGCGTACAAAGGTATATTATACAGAACAGAGTTGTGCATAAGTACAAATAATATGCATACCTACATATGTACATACAATCATATGTATGTGAGTGTACAGTACAAAGATCACATGATGTATGTATGCACATGTGATTTTGTATACTGGTTTGTCTATATACATAGAGAATGTTTGTAGTGTATGTGTTTGTATGCGTGTGTAAATGTATTTTGTAATGTTTGTACTTCTGTGTGTGTGTGTGTGTGTGTGTGTGTGTGTGTGTGTGTGTGTTTGTACAATAAACTGTACGTGTAAGATGTTTAAGAGTAAATTAGAGATGACTCGAACATCCGAAGCTTGCCACAATGTTCGTCATACTAACTATAGCATAGTGCGCCAGAATTCAGTTTGAACTCCGAGATGGAAAACTTTTCAATTTTCGTTTCGTTTCGTTTGTTTTACTTTGTTTGCATGTTTGTTTTCCATTTTTTCTGGTTGATTTCTATGTCACCGAAGAACATTTTTCATTGAAATTTTAACAATCTACGTACCGGTAAGTACGTGAAGATGTATGTATGTGTTATGTGTGCATGTGTGGTGTGTATGTATGTATGTAGATGCGTGTGTGCGTGCGTGCCTGCGTGTGTGTGGTGTGTATGTATGTATGTGCGTGTATATGTACGTATTATATTATACATACATAAAAGTGAGTTAATGAATTACCTGGACGCTTATATACCATCTCTATCTCTAGAACAGAGGATAGATACATGCATGTATGAACTAATTTGCCTAATTGTCATTCATCTAGGTATTCGCGTATCCAGATTAAAAATACAAAAGATAAACACGCACGCACACACACACACACACACACGTACACACACTACGCGAACATCACTAGTACACAGTTTTACATACAAATTGATTAACGCACATACAAACCTACTAGCACACATACAAAAAATCAACATATATAAAAACAGCAAAATATAAACATACAAACGTACATCATACACACCCTAACCTTACACATGCACACACACACACAAACCTATACAAACAAACATAGATGTATTTAAACATACATGCGTAAACATTACACACAACCATCAATCCATACAAACATACATACATACAAACAAACATACATACAAGCATTCATACAAACAAACAAACAAACCTACAAACATATACACATACATGCAAACATACATACATACATCTATACTATCAAACAAAAGGATGCAGCTAGCAAAGATAATAACGCATGTATGTGTATTGTCTATATATATATATATATATATATATATATATATATATATACAACGTCATTCAGAGCCCCACAACTGTGCCTGTTATAGATGATTCCATTTGAGCATTCTAAGGGATGTTCAAGTTGAAATCTGTTTCTGTTTTACATTATAATACAATGCAATTTTTTGCAAGCATTGAAAGAAGAAGTTTTTAAATGTTTAAAAAAAAAAAATATGATAAATTTAAGATGTTGAAAAAATTGAATTAAATTTTTTTTAATGGTCTTATGATGTCTTCAACATACCTTTTGTAAATAAGTATATATGTATATATGTTTGTATGTATGCATGGTTGTTTGTTTGTATGTATGTGTGTGTGTGTGTGTGTGTGTGTGTGTGTATGTGTTATTGTTGTTAGTTTTAGATGCAGCTTATATGAATAGTGTATAAATAAAATAAATAGATGAATATATTTAACCTTGTAACTAATATATGTTATGTTATGTTATGTATGTGTATGTATGTATGTATGTTTTTTTGAAAATGTGTATGTTTGTTTCTATGTATGTGTGTGTATGTCTTAGTTTGTTTGTATCTGTGTTTATTTATGTAATGTTGTACTGAATACTATATTATTATTATATTGATAACGTGCCATAAAAATTGACAAATATAAAGATGAGAATTAGAGAAAACCATAATTTTTACACAAAAATTCAATTAAACATTGAAAAATAGATGAAATAAACATCAATTATTAATAATTACATTATTTCAAAAACACGAATTTTACCGGTAAATTAAATTTCTTCCTAATCCAAGTTTATAGTCTTCTCACGCACGAAATTTCGACAAACATATTTAAATCGAATTAGCTTTTAACCTTCAATGATGCTAAAAGTAAACTTTTAAATGACGGCGCTAATAATAAATTTAAGTCCAAATCCGGAAAAACTTTTTAGTGAATTTATACGCTTGTTGAACGAAAACAACGATATGTTAGTTTAAGATTTTGCTATTTTTATATCTATGTCCGTTAAATTTTATGAAAATCATAAATTTTAAATGATTTTCTTTTATTATTTTATTTTAAATAATTTAATATTAATTTAGTTAACATTATTAAATTAACTAATTACTAAACTAACATCATTTTATAATTAATTTTATTATTTATGTTCTTATAATATAATGACTACTAACTAATACTAATGCCATGGCTACTAAAACTAATGCTAATGGTTCTATTTATTACTATAGTAATATAGTTAGTATAGGAATAATTTGCTAATTTAATTAATTAACACAACTGTATTCATTTCTCAAATTCAAAACCATCTGTTGATTCTTTTTTTTAACTTAAGTGATGAGTATGACATCATTCCTCTCACACCAAGAGCAGCTGCATCACAAGATGAACCCAGTGGTCATTTTGGTGGACATTTTATGGCGGAGAAAAACAAGATGGCCATCGATCCGTCTGCTGCAAAGATGTTAACTTGTTTTGCCAACTTTACTTTCAATGATATTGTTGGTCAGCTGAAAATGAAAGGTTACCAAAAAAGTTGTCTGGGTATGTTTTATTAATATTAATTAATAAAAAAGACAGTATATGTTTTTTATTTTAATATTTACTTCTATTTTAATTGTTAATTAAATTAAAACCCAATTAAAATTATTTCATGAAAAAATTATCAAGAAACATCACTGCTGCTAGATATAACTAGATGTCTGGTGATGTTCGTATATGATCACTCATCTGCCTGGAATTTTAGGTTGTTTCAATTTAAATTTACTTTTTTTATGGAAAAAAATATTAGATAATACACATTTTAAATTTTAATTATTTGATGGGTATTAATAGTTATTAAAAAAATTAACTTTAAATTATTTATTTATTCTATGGTTATTATTTACATTTAACTCTTTATAAATTAACTGTAAAAGAAGTTACTATTATTTTAATATTTAATACAAATATAAATAAATAAATAAAATAGAATAGAATAATAATAATTTTAACAGGAAGTCAATGCTTAAAAAAAGCCAACTAAATCACGAAGAAGAATTGAAATTTAGTAAATTAGTTCTGTGTAAACATCCCAAAAGCCCTGAAACATTTCACCATAGGAGGTTCATTCTTCAAGATTACCTAACAGTTCTAAATCTATCAGAATGTTCTAACAACAACAACAATAATAATAACAACAACAACGATAGTAATTATTGTTATAATAATAAAAAACCCTGTATAAAATGTAACTTACTAAAGAGTGAATTAGATCTTTGTTCGATAGTTGCCAAGAAATATAAAAACAATTACTGCTGTTGGTCACATAGAATATGGACTCTTAAGGAACTGAGCTGTGACTTGAAAAAAGTTTGATGAAAATTATTATTTAAGTAATTTTTTTAATTAAAAATAGTAAAAAAAATGTATTTCATAGGTGTTGCTGAATGAGCTATATAGGCATGATGAAGAAACGTTACATCACATCTCTGATTACTCATTCTATCACCATTACCACTACGTTGTGATCTTACTTATGAAGAGTACCATTATTGATGATACTACTACTACTGCTGCTGCTGCTTTTGCGGCTGCTGTGGCTATCACTACTAAAACTACTACTCAAAATTGTGGTAGTACAGATACTACTTCTTATAATAATACTACTGCTGTTGAAACCAATTTATCTACTATGATAGCTACAAATAACGCTACTAATAATTCTAATATTATTACTACTGCTAGTGCTGCTGCTGCTGCTACTACAGCTGCTGCTGCTGCTGCTACTACTAGTAGTATTGATCTTTCTACAGATTACGTCGTCACTTTACTACTGGATGAATTACAAACGGTAAATAGTAATCTGGAGTTTTACAATGGTTTTCACGAATCTATGTGGTATCATAAGTATGTTTGTTTTCACTATTTTATTTTTTTTTAACTAATTAATTTATTTATCTAAATAAGTAGTTATATTATCTATCTATTAGAATGAAAAATTAAAATTTATTTGTTTTTCCCATAATTTCAGAAAATTTATACTCTCCTGCTTAATATACATCTTAGCCAGTAACGACCAGATGAAAGAGTTTTTAAAAATTCGCGCCGAAAATTTAAACATAGAATATAAATCTAGAGTAAATTTAAGCAAAAGTTTTATTAAATTAAGACACTATATAAATGCGGATGTGAACGCTTCGCCTAGCAGACGGTTTATATTAAATGATATATTTTCTGGTAAAATTATGGTTAAAAATCAGAGTTTATTGAAGAGATTAGAGTTAGTTTGTGTTAATGAAATTGATAAATGTTTTTCCAGTGCTAATTTGGATTCGAATTCGTGGAATTCGATTTTGGGATATAGATATTCGGTTTGGTTTTGTAAATTTATAGTTGATTTTTTTCGAAATTGAAACGTATTGACTGTGAGTTTGTGTTTAAAATACTTTGATTTGTTTATAATAAAAAACGCTAAAAAATTCTTGTTTACTATGTTTTTTTTTAAACATAAACAGTCAATAATCGCATGGTTACAAATCGGAAAATATGAATTCAAAACTCAAAATAAAGTTGCTAATTCTAACTTTGACATGCGTTTTACGTCAAATAAGTGCCTGTCTTGTGAGCGATGACATTGTGGAATCAGATTACAAAAAGTCTCTGAGAATTGCGGTCGTCATGCCTGTCGACAGGGTTCCAATGAGCGTAAGGTTGAGCAAGGATGAAATAACCATGGCAGCCCTTATGGCCGCAACAAGGGCCCTTGAGGAATGTTTGATTGACGTGAAAGGATCTAAAGCAGTTCATTTTGGCTTGAATAATATTAAAATTATAAATGAAGATGTCAATCCGTCGGTTACTTTGCGCAATTTAATCAGTTGGACTTCTGATTCTGATGGAGAATATGTAAAACATTTCATTATTTAATCAGTTAATCAATTAATTGAGTAACCTTTGTTATTAATTTGAATGAAATTTGATTCCACTACTAGGATATGCCTTTTATCGTCGGTATAATGAATGACAATACATGTTACACGTTGGGAAAGTTCTATGCAACGGAAGGTAAAAATATTCCTATAATATCGATCGGTTGTCGGAACCCGGGCTACTCGATACACGCCAATCTGATGCAGAACATTCACCGAATCGGCGGTAGAGATGAGAGTTTTATCGAGTCGATTTTTCTCCTACTGAAGCAGCACCCTGCTTGGAAGAAAGTTATTCTATTCTCTTCAACCGACTCCACGAGTGTTCTCGCCTCGAATATCATTAAAAAGAAATTTGAAAAGTTACGATTACTCTATAACACAGAAAACGGTCTACATTTGGTTGACAGTTTTAGTCTGCCCGTGTGCACATCAACGAAGGACTCGCTGATGAAAATCAGGGAGGAGTTTTATGTGCATGGGAGGTGGGACCTCTTTGAAGCTGCCCTTGAGTTTCTCAAGTTTTCCAAGTTTAACGCCAATGGTTGGTTGGTTGGTTGGTTGGATTTAGCTGATTGGTTGTTTGTTGGCTTTTAACATTACTTGATGTTTGAGGTGTTAGATATTTCTACTTTTTTGCATAATTTTGTCAGATTATTGATAATTATAGATAATATAATTTATAATTATGCCATAATTAATAGTAATAATTAATAATATTCTAAGTATTTATACTTGTAATGCCCGACTGTGGTGTGGTGCAAGTCATGAGAGCGGCCAAGAAGCTTGGCATGTTTGACTACGGCTTTTATATACGTTATGCCTTTATTACCTATGCCTTCACTAATGGTAATAACATTTATAATAATATTTTTATTTATTATTATTATAAATAATTATTATCGTAACTAATATCAATAATAGTATCAATAATAGTAGTTATAAAAAAGTTAGTAGTAGCATGATCTTGCCGTGGTGTTTTAGTAGTAGTAGTAATTGTCGTAGTGTTACTGCTATGATTAAGAATGATGATACCACAATCATCTTTTTTTATTGTTGTTACTGCGCTAAAAAATGATAATAATAATAATAATGATAATGATAACAACATCATCATCAATTGTAGTATCATCAGTATTATATAATAATTTTCTACGTCCAATCACTCCTTTTTTATTTAAAAATTTAATAAAAACACGTCAAAAATGTGAACGATTAGTGAACCCGGAAGCTCATTTTAAGGAATCAGACCCTGGAGATGTGGCGGAAACTAAGAAGTCGTTGGAGGGTCTCCTGACTGTGAACATAAACCGACCCCTTAAGACCACCTGGTTCAATTTCGACGAAAAGTTGAGGCTATTTAGAGACCAATATAACGCGAAACACGGCACCTTTTATGAATTAAGTGTAAATTGGCAGTTAATTAATTACTTAATTAAGCAATTAATTAATTGATCAACTATTAATTAATGTGATTTTATTTTATTTAAATAATAATTTATAATAATTTTTAATTTAGTTTATACAAGTAAAAATGTTAATTATAGTCCGGTGTAGATTATTTTTTATTGGCCTACTTATCTTAGCTGGCAATTATCAGATTAGTCAAAAGATTCACTAATTAATTGAACCACTAATTGAATAATTGAGTGACGTAACTCACATCACTACCCAGTACAACCTCGATATCAACACGGCTCTGGTCTTTGACGGAATCTACATCCTCATGCAAGCCATCCACCACACTCATAGCGACAACAAGAGCCATGTAATATGGGACTATAGGGCCATCGATAAATTCATTTACGAACTGCCCACTGACTTTAGTCGTAAGCTGTTACGAGAATAATTTTAAATATTATTCAAAGCTACACTAATTATATGTTTTCAGATATATTAATAATTATGATGGAGAATTATTAAGAAATTATTAATAATAATTTTTACAAAGTTCCCAGTAGCATATCTGCCTCGCGCGGATATTTCTTCAAGTACGCCAGTGGTGCATTCAAGGTTCACCGCGAAAAATTTTGGAACCCTTTAAGGAAGGAATGGATCCGGATCAACATGAGATTTGTTGACCTTGCCGTCGAAATTATTCAGCAAGGTCAGTTGAAGGTCATATACGAGATCAACGATCAGACTTACCACGAAATGTTTGCCGACACCAGAGGCTTAGTGAGGCTGAGTTACTTTGCGAAACACCTGAGTAACGATCGGCTGCATGACTTCATCGTTCGGATAAGTACCCTAACCGAGATAGATCCCAATATTTACGAACCAATCGATTATGTGAAAAATTCGCCTGAGTTCTCGACAGCTGAAGCAAGGCGTATTTTTAGAAGATCCTCCCAACGACATGTAAAAAATCGACACCGACGATACGACTCCTGGGGAACGAACCACACAATCTCGACTAACGACTCGGATGCTGAATATTTGTTAGACGAGCATTCCGTAAACGAATCCAGCTGGGACTATCCAAATTTCGAGATGGATTACCTGAACAGCGAGGAGGAAATCTTCAAAAACTGCCCAAATTGCGACATCAAAATCCCATGGAAAAACCTTCACAACGTCGTCTTAAACAACACCAAACCAAATGAACTCTTCCTACAGCCAGGAATATTTCGGTGGCCAGGGGGGTACATTGTAGCCCCCAGTGGAGAGTTAGAAAGTATTGTGGGCTGGGCCGACCAGAAGTCTTACAGCACCACCAGGCAGAGTCTGGTTGTGTTTTTACGTACGTAGTTTCTCATGGCAAAGAAAAATTTTATTTAACGTTTCAACTTATACATTTTGCTTGTTATAATTATTCTATTCTAATGATAATAAAAATAATGATATTAAAAACAATAATAATAATAATTATTATAATTATTGTTATTAACAGTGGTTCATAACAAGTCACTCACACATTTCGTCATATACATCGCCACCTTAACCTTCATAATGGCTTACAATGTCTGGAGTTTTAATAAGAGGTGGTTATTATTGTTGTTATTATTGTCATTATTATTATTATTATTATTATTATTATTGATGTTATTTATAGCAAGGGCGCTAGCAGGAGCAGTAACGTCATCAGGGACGAGGGCTTCAGGATCAGGTGGAGCGAAATTGAAACGCCGGACAAGGATGAAGTGAATGAATGAACGAATGAATGAATGAACGAATGAATGAATGAACGAATGAATGAACGAATGAATGAACGAATGAATGAATGAATGAACGAACGAATGATTGACACAAATTTTATCATTACCATCATCACCGACAGTTCAGCAACTACAACGTTCTCATGCAAGAATCGATATGGCACGAATCGACCGATTTTATTCGGGAGCCGAATAGAAAGTTAAGCCGGTCCGACTTTTATACAGAAGTCGGTATATATAAGGTTCCTCTTAGTTTTAGTTTGGATGCATACATACATACGAGCAAATTCCCTCGCACACGCACGCACACAAACACACATACAGAAGATACATTACGTATTTTTTCTAGGCTCAAGTTTGTTCGATTTTAAGGATAAACTCTAATATAAAGCGGATCAATTTTAAGAATGGTAGATTTCTGGACGAACTGAAACAAGTGTCATTTCATTACATCAATTAAAATTAAAACAAAATTTATACAAATTAACCAATTTTATTTTAAAATTCCATTAAAAACCTATTCGCATGTAGACCAAACGATGTCTACGACAGCGCCCTAAACAACCAAAACCGAAACAACCACAAACTCCAAAAAATGCCATAAAAATCTCACCAGATGGCCAACATAAGACACCAGAATCTAAATTTATTTCTCGGCGTCTGCCTAGACCTGCCTAACAGCTGTCTAATGTACCTGTACAACAAGTTCGGCAGCCTCACCGACCTAATAAGAGAGCAGAAGATAAGGCCGAATTACGACAACAAACTTTCCCTTGTTCTAGACATAACTAGTGTTATTATTACAATTTTTATTATTATTATTACAATTATTATTATTATTGTTGTTGTTGTTGTTGTTGATGATGTTGTTGTTGCCAGGGTATGGACTATTTGCATAGGTCTCTCCTCAAGATCCACGGACATCTCAGCAGCAAGAATTGCGTCATTGACAACAGGTTTATCGCATCTTACTCGTTCTCATTGTAAAAATAATAAAATGTAAACTACATAATTACTTAATTATATTTGATTAATTAATTAGTCAAATAATTAATTAGTAAATAAATTAGCTAAGTATATTATCATTATCATCATTGGCCATCTGTATAAAATGCATGTCATATATTCTCTTGATTGAGGCATATTATATAACATTACCGAATAAGTAGTAAGGTAATAGTATTAATTATAATTATCATTTATTTAAAAAATATAAATTATATAATTGCTTTCCCGCCATTTTATTGCAAGGTGGACCTGCAAGATAACCGACTATGGCGTCCATCAGCTACACGTTGAAAAAGTCAGCAAGGTTTACAAGAATGGTGAGTTAAATTTTTGACGTTAGTGGTATCAGGGAAGTGCCAGAGGCCCAATGCTTTAAAAATCAACATAACTGTCAATAAAAATTTCTTGTGAGCGGCATAGGGTTCCTTTTTTTGGCCACGCCTCTGGTTAACCTTTTAACCTTTGTTGTTATTGTCTAATGGAATGTTTACACATCCATAGAGAGAAAGAGATAGATAGAAGGATAGAGAAAAAAGAGTTGGTGGAAGTAATAATGTTAATTCGTTTTATTGAATAAATCTTTAACTTGAAAGAGAGAGAGAGAAGAGTGAGAGTAAAAATGAGAGAAAATTTCAATAGCAATATAAAAAATGATTTACATTACAAACACTTTTCAGTGGCAGATGCCCTCTACCTGGCCCCGGAGTTACTTCAAATTAGTAAAGGGAATTTTTTATCGGAGCAGGGCAGTCCGGAGGGGGACGTGTACGCGTTTGGGATAATCATGCAGGAAGTCATCATGTGGGACGTGCCGTACGCTATCGAGCGCCAAAATAAACCTATTTCACGTCTGCTCTTGCTCTTCTTCTTCTTCTTTTTCTGATTATTATTAATGTTGCTGTGGTTATTGTTATTTTTTAATCAATTTCGGCTAACGCCAATGCAAATGACATTCAAACAGCAACATCAACATCAAAAACTAACAAAACCAAAAACACGCGCAGAAATTCTCCGCCAGGTGATGCTGACGACCATGCGCCACCCCATACGCCCCCTCATCCCTGAGAACCTCTGCTCGGACGAGTGGTTGGAGCTGATGAAGAAGTGCCTGAGGCAGCAGCCGGACCGCAGAGCCACGTTCGCCAGCATCAATTTTGATTTCAAAAAAATGCTCAAGGGAAAGTTTGTCGTTGTTTTCGTTCGTTGGGTGCGGTTGGTTGGTGTTGTGTTTGTTATTCTTCTCTTTCTTTCACACACACACACACGCACACACACGCACACACACACACACACAGACTATCATAGTAATACACACACGCACACATACACGCACGCAGAACCGTCCACATAATGGACGTGACACTGGAAAAGCTGGAGAAATTGAACGAGAAGCTACAGATATTGGTGAGTAGGAGGACAGAGGAGTTGAAACAAAAAAAAGCTGAAGTCGAAGCCTGGATATTCAACATTCTGCCTGTGTCAGTTGAAATAATAAATTATGAATATTTAATCATCTAATTTAATTATATTTTGTTATATTTATTTATAATCATGAATCTCTATTATAATTTTTTTTGGAGGTAAAAGAAAAGTTGTTGCCTAGCATTTTATTGTATTTATGTTCGCATCGAGTTGTTATATTTATTCTTATATTATATTCTGCTATGTTGTATGCACGGACACACACACATACACACACACAAACAAACATACGTACACACACACACGCACACACATACATACGCATACACACACACGCACACAAACAGCGGGATAGCACGTGCAATGTTGAAGAACAAGACAGTTCACCCGCAAGAATTCGAAGAGGCGACAATCTACTTTTCGGACATTGTCGGTTTCGACATCATCTGCCAGACTGGGAGTCCAGCTTTCATCGTTGACTTTCTCAACAACGTTTTCCGCCATTTTGACCTAGTTACGGATAAATATGACCTATATAAGGTTGGGCCACGTGTCTTATAGATTATATTGGAGTGAATTTTTTTTTTAGACGAGACGTTATTTCCAAGTGCACGAGTCACGATTCATTTGAAAATTACCGATTAAATTCTGTCTAATCTCTAATTCGCAACCAGTGCGAAACGACAAAGGACGTTTACATGGTGGCCAGTGGCGTTCCCAAAAAGATCAGACACCACGCATCTGAAATCGCCACAATGGCACTGGACATGTTCACGACGATAAACAAATTCGAAATACCGGGTACAAACAATAACGTTCTACAACTGAGAATCGGTCTTCATTCCGGTACGTATCGGATTGAACAATTTTAACGATATGTGACATCTCTAACGATAATGGGACATCTCTTTTTTCCTTAAAGGTCCCGTAGTGGCGGGAATTCTCGGGACGAGTTTGCCCCAATACTGCATCTATGGCGACAGCGTGAACACGGCGTCAAGAATGCAAACAAGTGGATACGGTAGGACGAACGTGATTGGCCGTTTAATCAATTGTTTAAATAAAACCAACCAATAAGAAAAAGGTATGCAGATTAGTTCAAATATTTTCAACCAATCAGCATTGAGAATACACATGAGTGACACGACCAACAAACTCCTCCAGGCCACCAACGAATTTGACACCATGGAGAGGGGGAAAATTGAGGTCAAGGTCAGTTGGGCAAAATATTTGTATCCGACCTTGACATTCTGAATAGCATAATCATTGCAAACCTAGCGACTATACGAACAGTTTCATCTAAAAAACAACAGCATGACCAACATTTAATAAAATTTAACCAATAGGGCAAGGGGATTATGACGACCCACTGGCTACTGGGCAAGAGGAACACGGATCTGTACGTGCCCGACCCTACCCTGGCTGCAGCGAGATGGATGCACCATTTCAAATGAGTGACCCAGGGCAACAACTTTTGCAACGTGATGGTATGTCGTGTGATAAAAATTTATTGTTCGGTTACTTCTGTTTGTTTTTGCAATGAATTCTGCCTTTTAATCATTGTGTCGTGTTGTACTGAGGAGGGAGTTAAAAGAATACTGTACTATCACATCGTAGGTCGTCATAATTTAATTAATTATTTAATTAATTCAACGAGAACCTTTCCGTTAATTAAGTTTTGTATTAATTCTTCAAAATAAACAAAACAACGAAAGATACATATATATACAAGAAAATGTATACACTGGATGAATGAATGAACGAATGAATTAAAGTGAATGAATGAAGGGTCAAAAACGGTGTCTGAAAAAGAAAACTAAAACATGTGTACAGTTTTAATCGATTTATTTCGGCCAGAACTGTACTTGCGACAGCTTATTTCTTCCACAACGGTACTTTGAACTTGGCAGTCCTCATATAAGTACTTAGTTGGTACTCTACGTCGCAGGAATCTTCTACATCCACTGTCCCCCTGATTATTTTGTACACTGCACAATAAAAAAGTTCAATTTAAAATTATTATTACGTAGTAAACAAACTCGTAATAAACTAATCTATTGAATGTAGAAAAGTAACAATAAAGTAAAACACACACACAAACACACACACACAGAGAGAGAGAGAGAGAGAAACACATACGTTTCATTTCAAATCTTGGTCCTATTTCAGAGATGCTGAACTTCTTATCAACTTTCTTGCTGATGTGGTGTCTTGAAGAGAAAAAAATATTAGAATTAAAGATTAAATTCAAAGATAAATTGATAAAATATTTATTTGTTTGTTGAAAATTTCATAATATTCAAAGGTAAGAGGTATGGGTATGTTTAAGACATATGGGAGAAAAAACCTAAATGAGATGTAGGTGCCATCTAGCGAGGTGAAACTTATAATTCTCTTGCTATCGTCCTTTGCAACCGGAAATAGATACCTCAATATGTCCTTCACCTTTGGTGGTTCATTAAATTATTATAATTATTATTATCGCATGATAATTTTTTAAAAATAATTTTTAATATTCAATATATAAATTGAATGCAATATTCCACCTACCTCTTTCGTCAATTAATCTTCAAAAATAAACTCTTACTCTCTCTCTTCCATTCTTTCACACTCAATCATTCTCTTTCATTCTCACTCTTTTTCCTGTAAACTATCTCTCCAGTGTCCTCTCTCTCAGCTTTCTCTCTCTCTCTCTCAGCTTTCTCTCTCAGCTTTCTCTCTCAGCTTTCTCTCTGTCTCTCTCTCTCAGCTTTCTCTCTGTCTCTCTCTCTCAGCTTTCTCTCTCTCTCTCTCTCTCTCTCTCTCTCTCAGCTTTCTCTCTCTCTCTCTCTCTCTCTCTCTCAGCTTTCTCTCTCAGCTTTCTCTCTCTCTCTCTCTCTCTCTCAGCTTTCTCTCTCTCTCTCTCTCAGCTTTCTCTCTCAGCTTTCTCTCTCTCTCAGCTTTCTCTCTCTCTCTCTCTCAGCTTTCTCTCTCTCTCAGCTTTCTCTCTCAGCTCTCTCTCTCTCTCTCAGCTTTCTCTCTCTCTCAGCTTTCTCTCTTTCTCTCTCTCTCAGCTTTCTCTCTTTCTCTCTCTCAGCTTCCTCTCTCTCTCTCTCAGCTTTCTCTCTCTCTCTCTCTCTCTCAGCTTTCTCTCTTTCTCTCTCTCTCAGCTTTCTCTCTCTCTCTCTCTCTTTCTCTCCCTCTCAGCTTTCTCTCTCTTTCTCTCTCTCTCAGCTTTCTCTCTCTCTCTCTCTCAGCTTTCTCTCTCTCCCTTTCTCTCGCTCTCTCTCTAATGTTGTAGAAACTACTTGTTAAAACAACAGCTACCCACCCTTTCCCCCAAGTTAGAAGTGATGCTATCGAACATAAGCAGTGGGTACTCCTCGGACATCTTCCCAACATCAGGGATATCGTGCCTCATGACGACGTTTGAGAGGTTGAAGTAGGCCGTAGGTCCGTACGGCAGGTGGCAGACGATCATTTGGTCTGCGTGCGGTTGTTGTGGCGTTGTTTTTGTTTGTCGTTACAGTTGTTAATTAATTAATTAGTTAATAGATATCATTTTTAATTGGTCGTTATAGTTATTAATCAATTAATTACTAGAAATCATGTCTAAATTATCATTGTTTGTCGTTACAGTTATTAATTAATTAACTAATTATTCTATAGAAATCATGTCCAAAAAATCAGAAAAAAAATTATTAAAAAAAAAACCAGAAAGAATGGAAAGAAAGTAAAAAAACATTCACCAGGACTGCCCCTTGTTTCAGAGAGAATAATCAAATCAGAGTAATCATTGGCCCGCAATGCAGCCATCAAAGTCTTCATGTCATGGTTTCCTCTGTTTATTCTCTTTGAGTTTGGAAACATCAACCTGATTTCCTGAAATTAGGCAGACGTTAGCGTCGATGATTTTGTTGATGAATGTGATGCCAATAGGCAAGACAATGATGATGACCTTGATGGTGGTAAAGGTGAGTGAAAAGATGATGATTACAATATAAATGAGTATAATGTGTGTGAAGTCATTCAACAAATAAAAAATGTACTTCCAAAATTATTTGAAAAAAAAATGAAATAAATAGGCAGAGAAAGAAAGAATAGATAGATAGATAGAGAGAGAGAGAGAGAGAAAGAGAGAGAGAGGGGGGGGGGGAAGACAACATACTTTTGCAAACTGCTTCAGCCTGGATCCAGGGTCCCTTGACGTGGTGACAATAATTTTGGGGTCGGCAACTCCAGCCCATTTATACTCGTTATCTTCTTGTGTTGTTACACCTCAAACAAAAATTAATTAATTAAATATTAATAAATAACGATGATTATTATTATTAAATATAAAACAAATTATCGAAATATAATTTAAAAAATAATTTTAAAAAATTATTCACCTTCGCCGCCTTCGTCTTCCCAATCCAGACTCTTAAAAACATCTATGGCCTCCTTTCTCAAGTTCGTGGGGATGGGTTTAGATTCTGAAATTATAGTTTTGAAATATATGTTTACTTTTGAAAAATATGTTAAAGAAGACAATTATATCACTAATATTACAATAAACTGATTAACTCATAAACAATAATGGCAAAAATGACATGATTATATGAACAACAACATCAAAAACAAAAAAAAAATAAAAAACAAAAATAACAAAGATAAAAAATATAAAAATAATGCACCATCAACAGATTCTTTCACTAATTTTTTCTTCTCGAGAAGTGTGTTATCCCTATCTTCAATGCTCCTCCTGTAAATAAATTCTCGCATCTCCCTTCTCTGTCTTTTAAACTGCAGATGAAAAAAACAATTACAAATTTAAAATTGTATTCATTTTAATTGTTCATTATTTATTTTATTTAACAATGTATTATTTAATTAAATTAAAAATAAATTAATTACAAAAATCCACATGTGCAGTTCACTGAGTTCATTTTTTTTAATCTAATTTCATTTTAGTTATTTAATCAAATTTAAGAAAAAACACTGAAAAAATTGAAAATCACCATTTCTTATCAAATTTGAGTTTTATAGAGACGACGTCGAGTTAAATTTTTTAATTTTAATCTGCGGACAACCGATCAAATCAAAACTGGTGAGTAACGATAATAGAGACTTTAAAATGTGAAATGATTACAAAGATAAAACAAAATTTAAAATACCACAATGTTTTTGGTAGATGTACATCATACGGAAAAAAAGAATGAAAAATCTGACAACTACTGGAAAGAGATTGCGGTCAACAACAAAATACATTCGTGAAGTCCTTGTGTCACTTGTTGAATATCACCACATGAAACCTTTTCATCCAAAAGACCTTTCATTTGCATCTATCAATAATTTTGAATTTAAAACAATTTTTTCTTTGTATTTATTTATTTATCAGTCCATTTAAAAACAAACATGGCGAATATCTTTTGTTAACTAAAACTCGCTAAATAAACGATAATTGCATCATTTTTTTTGCGTTTAAACCATGCAAGGAGTAAAAAAGAAGTTTATTCCGCCTCCGGAAGCTCCGGTGTTCGAACCGTCATGGGAGGATTTTTGTGACCCTCTAGCGTATATTGATAAAATTCGCCCAATTGGTGAAAAGTATGGTGTCTGCAAAATTCGGCCACCACCGGTTAGTTGGTCCGCCGTTTTCATTCATTTGTTTATTCATTTGTTTGTTCATTCATTTAACTTTTCATTCATTTATTTGTTTGTTTGGTGTTTGGTTATTGGTTTGATGTGCATTCGTTTTTTTTGGTTTGTTCTTTATCCCTTGCTGAATTAATTAATATTTTTGTATTATTTTGTAAAAAAAATCACTCCAAAAAAATAAAATTTTCATCAAATTAAAATTGAAATTGTGACAAAAATTTAATTGCATGCCACACTGCATTGAAGTGTTGGTAATTCATTCAGTAAATTGTAATAAGATATAAAATAGATAAAAATAAATGTTACTTGACATTTTATAAACTTTATTTCTATTATTTCATTAATATAATAATAATAATGTAATGATGTGAATAATAAAATAAAAAATAAAATAAACTAAAAATGATGTTTCAAAATCATCCTCATTGTAGTCATGGCAACCACCATTTGCTGTTGATGTTGACACATTCAGGTTCACACCAAGAATACAAAAACTCAATGAACTTGAGGTACTTACTCGTTTCTTCATATCACAATAATTCTTATTTATGATTAAATATAAATTGAGTTAAATAATTAATATTAATTATTATTAATTATTAATGTTCTAAATTTTATCACCATTATTTTCTATCAGGCATTATCTAGAGTTAAACTGAATTTTATTCACTTGCTGACTAAATTCTGGACATTACAGGTTAAGAATTAACATTATTTTTTTTGTAAAATAACTATTGTTAATATTATTATTAAATTAATTTTTTTAATAATTAGTTATTTTTAAATTAGAGTAATTAATTAAATAATATATTTATCTAGGGCATAAAACTGAAACTACCAATGATGGATGGAAAGTTTATTGATCTTTATTCGTTACAAAAGGCAACTTTTTTTTCCTTAATTATTTTTTTAATTATTCTTAGATATAATTTATTTTTATTAATATTATTTATTAATATTATATATTATTCATAATATTTTTATTTTGATAATTATGGTCTATTTGTCTCAATGGTTAACTTAACTTATTTTCCAATTTGTCTACACCAACCAACAGATAGTAAAACGCAATGGCGGGTTTTTTGACGTCTGTCGACAGGACCAAGGCTGGATAAAAGTGGCACAACTGATGGGCTATACCCCAGGTCGAGGCTGCGAGCTAATTCTCAGCCAGCAGTACGAGAAGATTTTACATCCGTACGATCTATTTCTGTCCGGAGAATCCCTAAACGCTAAGGTTTGTTTCAGATTTTTAGGGGGAAATTTAGAAATTTATTTTTAGATGGAACTTTGCTTACGATAAAAAAAAATAAATTTTTCAATTGAATTCTACATTCAAAAAAGTATATTTTTTCTTTCTACTATTTTCTCCCCATCTCACAGAAGTTCAAAGAAATGAGACAGTACGACTTTAAAAGTGAACCCAAGTTGACGAACGGAAAATTAAAAAAGATGCGAAGGATGGTCTCAACACTGGTACATCTATTTATAATCTTTGTTAATATTATCATTATTATTATTATTATTATTATTATTATTTATTATTATTATTCTTATTTTTCAGCCATGTTACAGAAAAGAAGAAGCAGTCCCAGCCAAGATAAAAACCGAGGCCAACGAGTCGGCCAGTACAAACGCGCCTACTAAAATTGTCATCAAGCAGCAAAAGAATGGTGGCAGACTTTTGAATTTTTTCAATATTTTTTTTACTTTTTTTTATATTGCGGTTAAATGATTGAATTGGCTGATTGGTTTGTTGGCTGATTGTTGATTGGATGACTGGTTGACTGGATGACTGGTTGACTCATTCATTCATTCATTCCATTCATTCATTTATTCATGTAGTTTATAGTTCTTTTTCTGTTTATCCAATTGCTTAATTTATTTTAAAGTGTTGCTCATGTACCTTATTCTTTTCAGAGCAAGACCAAATGTTGATGAAGAACGACCCTCTATACGTCTCAAAGGTACATTTGAGGGAGATGAATTATTTCTTTAATATAATTTCACAATTTAAATTATAACTGCAGTAATAATATTTATTATAATTATAATTTATTAAATAATTAAATTAAATAATTATATTTATTATAATTATAATTAATATTGTTGATGACCCGCAGGCAGACCAATATTTCTGTGAGGTATGTGATGGTGGTGACGACGAACCTCTGATGCTCTTGTGCGATGGGTGTGACCACGCCTACCACACCTACTGTCTGATGCCCCCCCTAGAGAAAGTACCTCCCGGCGATTGGATGTGCCCCAGGTGTATTGCCAAAGTTTGTCTCAAACTGATGTTCAACTTTTTTTTATATGGCAAATTTATTTCTATTAAAAATAGGTTTTTTTTGTAGCAAAATATCAAAAATATTTTAAGAATCAATTAAAAATCTTACAACCACAACTTCATATAACTGCAGTGCTGTTTGTAAGTAAGTAAAAATCAGTTTTTGTTTTGGAAAAGACTTCATTTTATGTAGAAAATCCACAAAAAATTGAGGTTATAAGCAAAAAAATGTTCTCCAGCCTAATTTTAACTACACTATCATAATTTGTTTTAGTTAGTTTCTTCGTTCTTTTGTCAAATTTTAAGTTATTAAAGTTTATGGCCCAACCTCCGACAGAGTTGTCCTGTCGTTCCTGTCATCACATTCGAGATGTGATTAATTATTATTTAATATAACTTAGGAATGTCTTGGACCGATGGAGGCTTACGGTTTCGAACAGTCACCCACCGAGTACTCCCTCGAGAGTTTCGGCATCATGGCAGATGGTTTTAAAAGAAATCACTTCAATATGCCCGCACATGTCAGTCGATGGGGAGGATGATGATTGTGGTAGTGAATTGTGGTGGTGGTGATGTTAAATAATCCTTGTAACTTACGACATCATCATTGTCATTTTGACTACATTCTCATAATCTCAACCAATGTACATCATCTTCATCATCAGCTGCTTCATTCACGACATCATCATTATTACTAACTCATCACCCATCATCATCACCCATCATCATCATCAGCTGGTTCCTTACTCAGCCTGTGAAGAAGAGTTCTGGAGATTAGTGGAATGCTTGGAAGAGGATGTGAGCGTGGAGTACGGGGCCGACATTCATTCAGGGGAGCAGGGGAGTGGCTTCCCAACTGAAAAAACTAGAGATAGATTTTCTGGGGATGAGGTTACTGGTTAAACTTTTGTACTACTAACTACTACTACTATTATGTTTTACTAGGTACTGGTACTAGTCTTTTGTTTTGTAGTACTGAATTTCTATCATAAGTAACATTGACCGCAATCTGGATGCAAAACGAAGATTGATTGATTGAATTTCTATAATAAGTAACAATAGTAATAGTAGTAGTTGTTGTAGTTACTTTAGCAGCTATAGTCGTATTTGTAGTAGCCACAGTAGTGGTATTAGCAGTGGCAGTAGTAGCGTTCATATTATAGTTGTAGTGTTATAGTATTAATAATTGTACGTTGAAAATTGCTAGGAGTACATAAAATCAGGATGGAATCTCAACAATCTGCCTATACTGGACATGAGTGTTCTTAAGCATGTCTCTGTTGATATATCTGGAATGATGGTGAGGTTGTTTGCTTGTGTGTGTGCGTGCGTGCGTGTCTGTTTGTGCGTGTGTGTACGTTCGTATATGTATGTTTTTGTGTTTGTATGTACTACGTATGAACAAATTTTTGAAGGTACCTTGGGTTTACATAGGGATGTGCTTCTCCAGTTTCTCGTGGCATATTGAGGACCATTGGAGTTATTCTGTCAATTATATGCATTGGTTCGTCTGATCCGCCACATACATCCATACACACGCGTTAACACACACACACGCACACATAAATACAGACATACATATCCAAACATACATTCATACATACCCACACACACACACACAAAGGGGTGAGCCCAAAACATGGTACGGGGTTCCTGGCTCCCACGCAGAGCTTCTGGAAGAATGCATGATGAAGGAAGTCCCTGAACTCTTCAAGGACGCCCCTGACCTCCTGCACCAACTGACCACCATCTTGAATCCCAACATCCTTATGGATTATGGCGTCCCTGTAGGATCTTTTCTAAAATTTTCGAATTAATTAGTTGACTAATAACTAAAAATTAATAATTTGATAAAAATAAATTATTAATTAAATAATTATTTAGAATTATTATTAGTGCGTCTCAGTAGTTTCATGAATAAGCAGGGATGTCTTTGCATTCGAACCCTGTCACTTCGACACTTGTGCCAGACACCTGAACCATTACACCACGGTTGGTTAACATTAGTTAATGTGCCCCAGGTCTTCAGGACAGACCAGTGCCCTGGTGAGTTCGTGATAACCTTTCCGAGGTCGTACCATGCAGGGTTCAACCAGGGCTACAACTGCGCGGAGGCAGTCAATTTCTGCCCTCCCGACTGGGTTTGTGTGTGTGCGTGTGTGTGTGTGTGCGCGTGTGTGTTGTGTGAAGATTTGTTGCTGGTTGGTTGGTTGGTTTGAAGGAATAATTGATTGATTTATTCATCCATTCGTTTGATTCGCTGATACACACACACACACACACACACACATTGGTAGATCACACGCACATACATATACACATACATATACACGACGGTACACGAAATGCACGCACACACACGCACACTCAAACACAGGTACACATGGGCAGAGAATGTATAGAAGACTACAGGAAGTTCAAGAGACAGTGTGTCTTCTCCCACAACCAACTCCTCTGTGAGATGGCCGAAAAGTCCAAGACACTAAACTTGAAGATGGCCGCTGTTGTACACGATGATCTGATCATAGTGGTCGATAACGAGAAAAAACTTAGACACAAGATGGCGCTTGCTGTAAGATAGTTTTTTTTTCTTTAGAACAATCGTTCGCTTGGTTATATGTTGATTGGTTTAAGTTTCTTATCTATATTTATTCATCTGATTTGATAATATTTTGGGTGTTAATTATCTCTGTTTTTCTATCTCCATCCTCTTTTCCTCTCTTTTTCTCTCTTTTTCTCTCTCTTTTTTTCTCACTCTCTCTCTTTCATTCTTTCTCCAGGGCATAATATTAACGGAACGCTTCCACTACGACCTGGTCGAGAATGACGACGACAAACAGTGCGACGTGTGCAAAACTACCTGCTATCTGTCAACTCTCCATTGCCCACTCGACCCAGGTCATCGGTTGTTTTCATTGGCTGGCTGGTTGATTGCCTGATGCGTGATCGGTCCATTGGTAACTGTTTGGCTGGCTGATTGGTGGTTGACTGGCTGATTTGTTGGCTGGATGATTATTAATATTTGTATGTAAGAAGCTATTTTATTTTTATTTATAGTTATAATTAACATCATAATGTAATGATCATCACCATCATAATCCCCATCGTCATCATCATCATCATCATCATTTTATGGCCACAGAACGTCTGATATGTTTGGAGCACGATCCAATAGCAGACATGAAGTGTCCATGCCCGCCATCCAGTCACATCATTCGTTACAAGTTCACAAATGACGAGCTCATGCAATTGGTTGAAAATTTAAAAGTTCGATCGATGTCATTGGACAATTGGAAGGCCAAGGTCAGGGAGGTTCTGTTCTCTACCAATCAGAAGAAACCAGGTTATGATTGTTTTAAAAAAGATACTGCATGAACGTTTACCATTACTAAACATGTATATTAATAATGGAACAATGCAGACATCTCATACTTGAAAGAGTTGCTGGCAGAAGTGACGTCAGAGAACCTACCCCAAGATGACCTGGTTTCGAAACTTCGTGAAAAGATGACCATGTGTGAGAGCTCGGTCGAGATGGCCAGGGAACTTATGAATAAGAAGCTCAGCAACAGGTCAGTCAGAGTTAGGGTTAAAATAATAACAACTGTGATTGTTGTCGTTGTTGTGTTGTTGTTGTTGTGACTTGTTTATACCATCTTTCCAACCAAAAATTAAATGGTTATAACGGGTTTTTTAAAACCCTGCTCTTATTAGCTGATAGATTCGTTACCTATATATTAAATTATACAACCAGACAACAGCAGCAGAGATTGTTAGCAGCTTCGTTATTGGACCAGCAGCAGCAGCAACAGCAGCAGCTACATTCGCCTCCTCATCACCATCTTCCTCCTCCTCTGCAGCAACAACAACAACAACAACAGCAGTTTGTTTGCCGGTTGAATTTGTTTGAATTGAAAGCATTTTGTGACAGAGCAAAGGATTTGCCATGCACATTCAAAGAAGCTGGTTTAATTCAGGTCAGTCTCATTTGTCTTTTCATTGGTTGACCTATTTTTGGCTGACCTATTTTATCGAATGCAGTGTCTTTTTTGCTTCTAAAAGTTTTACAGCTATGATGTGAAATAACTGAAAATAATGTATAATAACTGCAAAAATCTCATCATAGGATTTGCTGGATAACGTGCTGGTGCTACAGAGAGAGGTCGTCGGCATGCTGTCCAGCGATTCTATGCCCATCCCGAGCAGGTTGCAGGAAATTATGGATTGGGCACTGAGTCTCGATGTTGAGTTTCCAGAACTCCCTAGATTACAACTGGTCAGTTTGTTGGTCGGTCGGTCGGTCGGTTGATTGGTTGGTTAATCGGTTGGTTGGTTGGTTGGTCGGTTGGATGGTTGATTGATTGATAAGAGGACTGAAAAGGATTGCGTCAAGATGAGTTAGAGTAGTAGATTGAATTGTTTAAAATGTTTTACTACAGCTCCTCGCGCAGGCAAAGTGGCTGAACGAATACAACAACCTCTTCAGCAGCAACAGCAAGTTAACCCTGCCCACCCTGAAGAAGCTGAACGACACGATCATAACAGGGGCGTCCGGGGTCTTCCATCCCCTCTACCAGTCGTCCATTAACAAGGTCAGATCGCTCGTCGTCGTTGCTGAGTCTGTTGAAAGAAAAGCTGATCAGTGTCTTAGGGACAGGTTAGTAATGATGATGATGATGATGATGATTAAGATGATTGCAGTGATTATGATGATGATGATGGCTAAGATGATGGCGGTAATTTTGAAGAAGGTTAAAATGATGGTGGCGATGAGGAAGAAGATGAAAATTTTGATGGTTTATGGTGTCATCTTGATGGTGCAAATGATGCAAACTCTATTTTCTCTCTCTCTCTCCTCTCTCTTTCGATCTTATAATCAGTTTATTTAATGTATATTAATCTAAACAATGGCAGGCCGACTATACAGACGCTGGAGTTGATCATCAACGAGGCAGAACCCCTTGCCTCCGTTGACCTCCACCAGCTTGTCAAGGTCAAGGAACTTATGAAGGAGGCCAAAAGATGGCAGGACCTGGCTCTCACTCAAACAGTTAATTATTTTTTATAATTAATTTTGTTAGAAATGATAAAGTTAATTATTAATAATCATTTGTTTATTGATTAAACTCATCTATCAATCATTCAGTCAATCAACCAACCAATTGATCAATTAGTCAACTAATCGACCACCCTAATTAATCAATCAACTACTCAGAGCCGAGGTCACGGTCTACATTTGGATGAATTAGATCAGCTGATCGAGTTGGGAATGGGAATTTCCGTACGTTTTGAGATCTTGGATTCTCTACAGAATCGTTTAAAAATGGCGACACAGTGGAAGCAAAAAGTTTATAATGCTTTTTTTCAAGGGTCTAGGAAGTCCATTTTACAGGTTAGAAGTTTTCTCTCAGCTAAAATTCCGTATTTGTGTTGATCTTAAACATTTGATTGTTTAAACTGTTTTGAATGTTATTTTGATTATTTTACTAGTTGTTAAGATTATTGTTGTTGTTGTAGTTATTGTTATTATCGTTGTCGTTATAATATTAGCCGTGGTTCAAGGAGTTAGGTGTAAAAGTGGATTTGAACGAGAACATCCCAGGTCAAGGTAGGAGAGGTCCTGCGGTCCAGTTCTCCAACGATGGTACATTTGTATGCCCATTCACTTGTATCACTGTTAGTTGTCATTTCTTTGTTTTGAGGTTCTAATTTATTTTAGATTGTTTAGACTTTGTGTGTGTGTGAATGTGTGTGTGTGTGTGTGTGTGTTTATGTTTTGCTTGTTTACATTTTCATGCATAATTATGTTAATTTATTCGAACCCAATGACGTCATCAGTTGGACAGCTTACAGTCGGTTGTCAAGAAGACTTTCACGAAACTTGTATCGGCTCGCAACGACATCAGGAACAAGTTATACGAGTGTAGTAAGGCCATCAATGCACTTTCAAACAGCAGCGGCAGTAGTAGCTCTAGTGGTGGTAGTGGTGTTGGTGGTAGCGTTAGTAGCGGCAATTGCTCGTGTGGTCGACACTTAACTGAACATGTTAGATGCTGTGTTCTCTGTACTATAATTTATTATGGTTAGTGGTGGGTGCATTTTGCTTTGTGTACTTTCTGTCTTGTTGTGCTTTAATACGTTACTTATTGGTAGTTACTTTAGTATCTTTTACTTGTTACAGCTGATTGCGCCACTTTGGCCAGTAGTTTGCCACAACAATCGCAGCAGCAGCATGGTTCTAGCAACAAGTCAAGTGAACGACCAACAACAACATCAACAGCAGCAACAACAACAACATTGACGCCATTGGACAGTAGCAACACCAGCAACCAATCATCTTCATTGCCGTCATCCTCGTCATCATCTATGTTTGCAAGTTTCACGACCAATAAGATGAGTTTCATGAGTCCTCCTTCGTTTCCGGCAACCAATAAGCTATTTAGTACATTCCCCATGGGCAATTCTGGCTTATTTTCGACCAATAACATTCAAGGCGGTCTTTTCCAGACTAGCCAATCATCTCCATCTAACATATTTGGTACAGCCAATAGCATTTTAGCACCTATAATGCCGATTAATAAGAATTTTACACCGTCTTTGAATGCATTTTCTCCAACCAATAACAGTGCATTTTCAGCAACCAATAGTAATCCTGGGTTGTTTCAATGGTCCAATCAAGGCCCTTCTAAAGCTTTCTCACCGGGTTTTGGAAGTGGAGGTCTGTCCCCTCTAGCCAATCAAGGTAGCTTTTTATTGACTGTATAAATATTTGATCATTTTCATTTTGAAACAAATTCATGCTTGGTGTTGAAAAATTTTTTTTTGCAGTAACCTGTTAGTCTAATTATTTTAAATAATTATTAAGATGTTGTATCATTTATCATCATTAACATAACTATCATTGTGGTGGTGTTGTTGTTATCATTCCCACCATCAATCATCATCATCATCTTCATCATATAATTTCCTCAAGATGTCAACAACTCTAATCGAACAGGGATCCAGCCGACAATGAAGCTCTTCTCGCCTACGCTTTCACTACCAACAGCCACTAACAACAACAGCAACAACAACACTTTCCAAACACCAAACAACAATCCCAATAACACTTTTTCACCAAACAACGCCAAAATCAACCTCTGTGACCTATGCAAAGATTCGGTTGACAGGCCGACCTATGATGAGTTGAAGGCTCTCGTGGCAGGCTGGTACAACATGAGTGGGGTCTGTATGCCTGAGGGCAGAGCCCTCCTCTACCTGGTTGACCTCGTGAATGAGTGGCAGCAGAAAGCTAGGTGGGTTTTGCTAGGGGTGTTGTTTTTGATGTCGTTGTTGGCTGTTTTGAGTTTTTGGGTAAAAAAAATTTAAAAAACTCTTTCTAGGAAAGTATTGTCATCTAGAGAATTGGTCGTAGCTGTAGGTCTGTTGGATATGCCATCTACCGATTTGAAAGGTTAGTACACTTGTTTTTCTAAACTTGAAGTCAGACGTTTGAGCATATTAAATTCATTTTGTTAATCAACCATTTATCCAATCAAAGCAATTACATTTGTTTTTTGCCACCCTGAAATCTAATTGGTAGACGGCTCGTGGATATCGACCAATTGGATAAGCGATCAGATGACCCGAATAACGGCTGACCCGATTTTCAGGCCTCGCCTCATCTCATTGGACGTTAGCATGGCCACGCAGACGACCTTGACCGAGTTACTGGTCGAAATGTCGGCCCTGAATGTTGAGACGGAGGAGGTCATACAGTTGAGACTGCTGCTATACTCGTGCTACGAAAAGATCGTGGTTTGTTGGCTGTGTGTGGTTGTGTGTGGTTGGCTGTGTGTGGCTGGTTGGTTGACTGTGTGTGGCTGGTTGGTTGGCTGTGTGTGGTTGGCTGTGTGTGGTTGGCTGTGTGTTGTTGGTTGGTCGTGTGTGGCTGGTTGGTTGGCTGTGTGTGGCTGGTTGGTTGGCTGTGTGTGGCTGGTTGGTTGGCTGTGTGTGGTTTTATTAAAGGTGATGATGATGAGGGTGATGAAAATGAGGACGAGAATGATGATGACGAATATTACGATTGTAATAATTGTTATATTACCAAGAATATTTAAAAAAAATCTTCCACTAAGCCACCCAGCCGATAAAAATCATTATTATTACGTAAAATTTTAAAACTAGGATTAGGATATAATGTAAGTTGATTATACAGTGAATAGCAGTAGTTTAGTTTTAACAATTTTAAAATAAAAACCAAGGAAGACAAAATATGTAATTGCTTTATATTAAACATGTTGGCCAACTTGTAGAAATGACACATGTGATTAGATTTTGAAAGATGAAATAGAATACATATAGAGAGGTATTTCTTATAGAATACGTAAAAAAAGTGTTAGCCTATGATTTAGTAGCATTTTCGTTATTATCAACAAGTTTGTTTAGCTTTTGTGGTGCTGTTAACTTCGTTCGTCGAACATTTAAACGTACAGCCTGTGTTAGGCTGAACTAACACTAGGATTGTTTGGTTTTAAACTGTGAACTGTTTGTGCTATCTCTATCATTATTTTTTCTTTCAATTTATTTTCTATTTTTTAAAGTTTAAATTGAAATAAATTAAAGAAGTGTTCAATTCTTAGTTCTGGAATTTTCCCGTATTCATGGCAACATGTTTTGGCAGTTCAACTTTATTAGCAACACGAAATTTGATAATTTCAATTAAGCCTGGCAACTTACCTTGCTTATTATTTAACCTCTGAATAAGTTTGAAAGGTGTTTTATCTAATTTTGAACCATCAAGATCATTAGAAATTACCTTTTTTACTATAATTAAAGTCTTCCAGATTGTAGAACTTTTTAACACTATTAACAAACGATTCGTTGTCAAGTGAATTAGAGTTATTAAATGAATAAAACAAAACTTCGTTAATTCCAACCGATCGAGTCGTCGCCATTCCAAGAAATAAATCCATCCATCCATTCATCCAGCTGACTGAATCAATTCGCAAAGAGGAAGAACAACGAAGGCAGGCCAAGATGGAGGAAGAGAGGAAGAAGAAGCAGGAAGAAGCTGATAGGCTGAAGAAACTGGCGGAGGAGAAGAAAAAGAGAGAAGATGATGAACTGAAGAAGAGAAAGCTGGAGGAGGATGAGTTCAAGAGGAGAGTCGATGAGGAAAATAATAAGAGGAGGAAGTTACAGCTCGTCGACAGCATGAAACGTCAGCAGCGTCAGCAGCTTGCTGGAGATTACAACGACAACGATGGTGACGGCGTTGCCGATGACGACGACGATGATGGTGGTGGTGGTGAGGATGATGTAGCCAGCGACAGACAACAACAAAACAGAAACAAACTCAATAACCAGGTATCTCCAACAAATGGTACGACCCAAAGCCGAGAAACTTCTAAATTGAAACCATCCAAAAAGCATATATACACCGATGATGAAGACGACGACGATGACGACGTTAAAATAAACAGCAGAAGCGATGACGACTATGGGAATGGTGTTGATGGTAGTGATGAAAAGAAGACCATTGACACCAGCAGTGATAATGTTGATAGGAGTAGCAGTGATTATCTCAAGCCAAATCAAGCTCAGCCATCTCGTCCAATGAAAAAGTCGGAAAAAATAATGCAGAAAATGAACATCCAATCAAAATTAGTTAAACAAGTTACGTCACCATCGTCGTCAACAACAACAACAAACAACACCCAAAAAACTGCTGGCAATGAAAGGTTTAAGAAACTTCTAAAGAATGATGGTAATTCAGATGATGATGACGATGACGATGATGATAGTAGCAAGGTTGTTTACAGAAAGGACGATGATGATGATGATGACGATGAGGATGACGATGACGATTACAGCAAGAAGAGGAAGAAGAAGAATAAAAGAAAAAATAATAAAAGTAAAAATAACGATGGTGACGACGACGATGATGTTTCAAGACGTAAAATGAAAAAATTCGGTAATAATAATAATAAAAAACTGGCTAAGATGATTAAATCTAATGATAACGTTCTAAAGAAGAAAGAGGCTTCTGGAGGTATGTTGCATTGGTGGCAAGAGTGATGATGATGATTGTTATTGTGGTGATAATGATGATGATTGTTATTGTGGTGATAATGATGATGATTGTTATTGTGGTGATAATGATGATGACGATGTTGGTGATTAGGTGATTGTGAGGATGATGATTGACATTTAGCAGGTGGCAAGAAAAAGTTGAGGCAAAGAGAGAGCCAAGCAACGAAATCGCCCACGTCGTCATCAACGTCATCGTCATTCCTCCCGTCGCCATCGCGACTCGCATCTCCCAAACCGTCGTCGTCTGCAGCTGCAGCAGCAGCTTCATTGTCGACCAACAAAAAAGATGCTAAAAGAAAATTTAAGAAGAAGAAACGAAGGAAAAGGAAGGACGATGATGATGACGACGATGATGAGCATGACGACGACGACGACGACGATGATGATAATTTTGAAGGATTCATTATTAAAGGAAGTGAAGCTGCTGTCGCAGCTACCAAAAAGAGACAAAATAATCACAAAAATAACAATAAGAGTGATAAAAATAGTAGTACTGTTGATAGCAATAATGGTAGTAATTCTACCAATAATAATTGGGAATACTGCTCATTTACTGGCTGTTTGAAGCCTACAGGTTAGTTGGCTGCTGCTGCTAATGATGATGTTGAAGACGATGATGCTGATGATGATGCGCTGAAATACAAGCATATAAACATACACATACAGGCATACAAACACGGACGTACACCTACAAACGTATACATACAAATAAGCACTCACATACAACAAACACAGAAACAAACATACAGACAAACCAACATACATACAAACAAACCAACATACAAACCAACGTACATACAAACAAACATACAAACAAACAAACAGGCGACAAAGTTAACTGGGTTCAGTGTGACCTCTGCGAACAATGGTACCACTTGGAATGTGTGGGGCTGGATGAGTTACCCGGCGAGGAGGAGGAGTTTGAATGTCAATCATGTCTTCTTTCAGCCAATCAGAGCACATGTAGGAGCTCCGCTAAAAATAATGATGACGACAACAACACTAATAATAACAATAATAAAATCGATAAAGATAGTTATAAAAGTAGCGATAGAACTATGAAAGTTTTGAGCAATTCTAAAAAAAGCAAAGGCAATAATAATAATAATAATAAGACAGAAAAACATAAGAAGAAAAAGAGTAAAAAGAAACGAAGCGATGATGACGATGACGATGATGACGTCGGTGATGATGATGACGTAGACGAGAGGAATGATGATAGTTTAGTTAGAAATAAAAGAACTAATGATAATAAATTGGTTAAAAAAGATAACATGGAAAAGGACCGTAACAACAAAAACAATAATAATAATAATCAGAAGAATAATAATAGTAATAATAAGGAGAAAAATAAATTAAATTCATTTGGTTTCGCTCTTACAGGGGCTTCCAATGTATTGGCAGGGAATAAACACAGGAATAGTAACAATAAAAACATTAATAACAATAATAATACCTCTTCTACTACTGATAATAATAGTAATAATAATAATAATAACAATAGTATCGACAGAGACTGTCGTAAGAAAATTCATAAAAATAAGAGTAAAAGTAAAAAGGATGACGATGACGTCATTAAGAAAAAGATTGTAAACGACGACGACGATGATGATGATCACGATGATGATGATGATGATCGAAATGATGATGATGATGGGGATAGAGTGAAGAAAAAGAAAATGAAGAGAAAAGAAATGAATAAAAAGAGCGGAACTTCAGCGCCGATTAAAAAGATTGTTAAAGAGACTGTCAATCAAAAGATAAGCCGGACTCGGAAAGAATCATCATCATCGTCGTGCTCATCATCATCATCATTATTTTTGCTACCACCATCAGCAGCAGCAGCAGCTACAACATCTTCATCGCTCCTTATGACGAATAAAAACAGTAAAACTACAGCGTCATCATCGTTATCACTACCGAAACCACCACCATCACCGTCGTTTCCACTAACACCACAGCCATCATCATCGTCGTCATCATTTTTAGCACCACTGCCTAAAAAGTCATGGCTCAACTCTTCGCCGCCGAAAAAATACGATGACGACGACGATGAAGATGATGATGAAGAAGATGGCCGTGGTGCTATTAACCGGGCAGCTAGTAACAGTAGTAATCGGCATAAGAGGAAAAAATCGCCACGCGCTGGCGACAAATGTAGTACTGATAAAAGCAGTAAGAGGTTGTCATCGTCATCGGCATCGAACTTTGATAATTATATATACACACCCTGGCTGGAGAAGAGGTGATGATGACGACGTGATGGTTGGATGATTGAATAGTGCCCATAGGAATTATGATAATGATGGCAATGATGATGCAGATGATAGTAATTGAACTGTAACAAAAACATTAACATTTGTAAATATATACATACATGCATGTATGTATGTACATATAATGAACATATATGTATTTTTATGTGTATATATATATATATA